TGTTTTGGCATGTTTTAGAACCAGCCTCTGACTCTTTTAAATGGAATGTTTGACTGTTCTATGAAAAGGACAAGGTTCAAGTGTTCAAGTCATGGAAAAAGGACGGAACCCTAAAGCCATCCTTGAATACAAGTAATTCAGTTGAGCCCAGCACCTGGAGAGGGCCCACTTTCATGCTGTAAGACTTAGAGGAGGAAAGGGAGGGGTAAGAAAAGTCAGAAATACAAAGAACAGGGCAACCATTGTTTGGATTTGAAGGTCAAGTGTACAAGAGTTCTCCATCTTACTATAAAAAGTCTAGGTCTGGGCAGTCTTGCATGCTATAAATTGGTATTCAGCTCACTGCTTTTGTGAGAATTTCACCTGGTCATGGTAATGTAACCATCTGTGTAACCTGTGTTTATCCTGAAGATAATCAGAACACCATAGGAGCTATACAATTTTATAATGTACAAGTGAATCATGGTGTGTAATTTTGATGTAAATTTCCCCATCTTTTTTCTGCCACATATTAAAGTAAATATATAAGAATGTAAGCTTTTAAAGTAATCTTCAACATCTTAATTAGGGTAGTGAGAGATTCCTACTAATGACTTATTTCCCCACCTATTTTTTTCCAAATGTTTCCATATTAAAGATCTTAATGAATTCTGGGAGGAAAGACAAACCTGAACAAATTTATTGGTAAATAAATATATAGAATGAAAGTAATTGACTCATTATAAAAATGGTTTTTCTCCCATGATTATTTGGTGGCACCTTCCTATTAGATAATTAATTACTTATAGTTTATCTATTTGACCCATGCCATTAAATAGAAATTGACCAAATTCAAAGATGTGAATTTCACAAGACTCTACTTTTTAAACTACAGTTCAAGAGAGTGCAACTTATTTATAATTGATGACACCGCTGCTTGAAGTGAGATGAATTGAATTTTTCCAGTCAAACTTTCTTCATCCATTTGCTTATTCTTTACATTGCCTTACCATGCCAAAACCACAATGGTGATAGCTGTCCATACATCCTGAGCTACTGTATCTTCCATTTTTTCATTAAACAAATGATAGACACTTCATCATTTGGTAACTCTAGAAAAATAGAATACTTATTTAATCACCTTTCAAATTTAGGAGTATATAGTTCATTAAAAATTACTTACACTGCAATAGCATCTTTGATTACTAATCCTACATTTACAAATATTTACCCTCGGCACAGCATGTGGAAGCAGAGGAATGTTTCAACCAGATGAAAGCTAAACTGGGCCCAAAGCGTATTAATACCTTTACAAAAGCTTTGGTCTACTCAGATTCACCATAGTCAAATTGATTCCATACAAGTTTATGTTGTTCTTTTAAAAAGACATTTGTTGTTGTTTGACTGAATATGAACATTTGCAAGATGTGAGAAGGTAGAGGAATGTTAAACAACATCTCGCATTACTGAATATTTATTTTAGTTCCAATACCAGTTTATGTCTTTGTAAGGTTTAAATAACAGAAACTGGGGAAAAAAACAACACCTAAAGCTTTGAAGAGTAAATTCAAAATTGAAGTTATTTAATATCAACTGCAGCTGAATATGCCTATGTCTAGGAAAAACAAAACCATAAATTTAAATAAGGAAAACACAATATTGAAGGATCCATGAACTAGATTTAGAGAAAAAGTGTCTCATGTTAACCCAGATATGTTTGCCCTGGAAAGCAGTGTGAGAGTCCAGCCAATTAGAATTTGCATTGCGCACTCCACAAGGGCCTCAAAAGACTGTTCTCTCTGTGACAAGGCTTTCTTAGTCTCTCGTGCTAGAAGGAACTTAAAGCAAAAGGCAAGAGAGACAACAATGTGTGCATTTGAGAGCAACAGAAAGGGGCCGTGAACCACAGGCATTGTCTTTCTGTTTGAAGAAATATTCAGCAAAAACATAGTTTTACATTTTTGTTGGTACATACTTGTGACACATTCATCTTGGGGCACTGATTTCTCTATGTGTATTTAATCTGTATCTACACCTAATCTACACCAAAATCAATGCTGTACCTACATCTGTATCTACACCTAATCTAACCTAAATCTAAGCGATACCTACATCCATATCTACACCTAGTCTATGTCTATATCTAATCTATATCTAAACTTAACCTATGTCTACAATGATAGCTACACCTAATCTACTACACCTTTAATGGACATCTACCTATAGCTATTTTCAATCCATATCTAATCCATATCTGTACCTACATCCAGGCCTAATCTATATCACCCTATCATAACTGGGTGACCTTTGATCCCTGCTCCTCTGGTCCATTTCCTCCAGATCCCCACTTCCCTTCCCCTAAACATCTGCCTCCTGGTTCTTCCCTTCACTTCCATATTCTCCTCTTTAATTTACTTGCATTTTCTGTTTCTCATATGAGAGGATCAATGCTGATATTTAACTTTCCGTATTTGGCTTATTTTATTTAACATTATGATCCCAAGAACCATGGATTTTCCTCCAAATGGCTTGAATTCACTCTTCTTTACAGCTGAGTGGAATCCCTCCGTGTATGTATGCCACGTTTTCACTACCCATTTCGTCTGCTGATGAGCATCTAGGCACAATAACAAAACCTTTTATAAGTGTGTAATTTGTTCCCAGAATGATTTCATACCTTAAATTGTCCATACATAGAAACCAAGAATTATACCCAAACTTATTTACAAAATTCAGTCTGCAACATATTTTTTAATCAGAAAGATATTTTCATTGTCTAAAATTACAGTATAGAAACCTATTTTTTATTATTTAAAATTGAGGATATATAAAATAAAGAATATTTCATTACTCTTGAAATGAAGAACCTTTTAAGCACATTTAAGAACATTTAGATTTACACTACACTTATATTTAGCATTAACTCACGCTCTTACATTTAGCATTTATGTGAACAGCATATCTGTATGTCTATGCAGGCCTTTACCATACAGTTACTGACATGAACAAGCTGGCACCCTGCGTGAAATGGGCTGAAAATTATTGTTTGCGGCCTGCACTACATGGAGTCTGGTGTCCTGGGAGGGTCTGGAGAATCAAGCATAGTTATTTTGACTGTCTCCTTGCACAACAGGTAACCGTTAATCGTTTCCTGTGCGCTGTTGGTCCTGGCTACTCCCAAGCATTATCCGGTTTGACCTTCACAACAGCTTTTGGAAGATTCTCTATTGGTCCCATCACCCATAACAATGAAGTCGGGGCTTGAAGAAACTCACTGGGGGTGAACTGCTGCTGCCGTGCATTGCTTAATGTCTCTCTGAAAATTTCTTTGATATAGGCTGTGCTGACTCTTCTGTTTTGCTTTCCTGCCTATGTATACTTTAGCTTCTCCTGTTCTCAGGTAGATTGTAGTTTTAAGAATTGGAAAGAAGTGAAGGGCATCGATCTGGTAAACTGATTTCTTCCAGTAGCCAGCCAGGGCCTGGCCATACCCTGCAAAGTAGCTGCCCCCTCAGGTGCAGAGCCTTCCATCCTCACAGAGAGCCTGAAAGTCCAGCCAGGCTTTGTGTCCCACTGATCCTTTGGATGCTGGGGAAAGCAAGAACTCAAGAGCCTGGTATCTTAAGTGTTCTCCCTGTTTCTCGGGAGACCTGTAGCTCTCACGTATTTCAGCCAGGACTTGCATGGATAAATCCCGACCCCCCCTCTCTGGAAAGGAGGCTGACCCAGGATCCTACTGAAAAACTCTCCTGAAGGCTTAAAAAGTGCACTTTAAACAATTTGTTCACCATTCCTGCAATGTTGCCCATAAATTTGTAAATATGTGGGCAGACACATTCAATTTAGTATTTGTTGACCTAATAATATGAAAAGACATCTTTGAGTTGTGGATGATGAGCTATTAATTATACATTTCCTGACATGAGAGAATGTAATTCTGGTAGATAAGTCATTTGTAGGAATGATTACAACTGGCAGTGTATAACACTATGAATAACTTGAGCAAGCTATAACAAGACGCTCTGGGGAAATTTCTTGGAGGTTGCCTCTGCCTCCCTTGCAGGGCCGGATGCTGCTTTGCCCTGGTGGCAGGGAGTGCTTGGGGCAGGGCAGGGGCAGGGCAGGTGCAGAGCACTTTCCTTAGGGACAGAGGACATGAGGGGCAGACTGGGGGACTCAGTGGGTGGTGCTGACCTGACCGGCAATGCTGAATTAACAAGTCTGAGCTCAGTGCTGTCCTGAAATCCTCTATCCAGTGACAGGTGGGAGAAGTAGACAGAGCAGGGCGTTCTCAGGCTTGGGGCACTTTTCCTGGCTTAAGGGCTGGGAAGGGTCCCCACTGCTCCTTCCTCTGTAGAAGGAAGAAACCCTGCCTTTAGGGGACTCTCATGAGTTCTTCCCAAGGATGCCCTGGGAAAACCTAAGCATTAATTCAAGGCACTGTTGTGAAGAATCTTCAATATTTTTATCCCACGGGGGTGGAGAATGCAAAACAGATTTTAAAAAGCATTTCTTAAAAGCCTCAGTCAGCCTCTCCCTGTATGTCAGCCCCAAGATCCTTCAGAGGGTTTCCACAGTGGAGCCAAAGACTCATACAACCATCTCGATAAAAGGAGCCTTGGAGCACAGAGGAGGCTGAACTTCGTCTCCTCACTCTCTCTGTGCCATGGCTTCCACCCTTCTAGTGAGTGTCTTGGAACAAATGAAACCATTTAGCAAGCCTCACAGAGTTAAAGAACTTTATATTCAACAGTGAGCCCTGGGATCCGCTACTAGGTGGGAGTCAGTCCCTTGGGCAAACTTGTGTGGACAACTTACCTCCCCCTCGACCTTTAGGAGCGTGCCTCCTCGAATGTGACACCAGCACACTCCCCAGGGCACCCCCATTTCAGAATGGCTCCTCTGTGCTTCCTAGTCCCACGCAGCCCCAACTGACAGAGGCAGCAGTGGTGGGAGTCAGATTGCGGTGTCCAGGTCCATGGGTCCCCACGTTCACAAGTTCTTGTTTCCTTGCCTTGCAGAGATGCTGGAGTCGCACGGCGTGATCACCTTCCACGGCCTGGCCAACAGCTCCAGCTACCACACGTTCCTGCTCGACGAGGAGAGGGGCAGGCTGTATGTCGGAGCAAAGGATCACATTTTCTCCTTCAACCTGGTCAACATCAAGGACTTCCAGAAGGTATCTTTGTGCTAACATATGCTGTAGTACTTAGTACTTCTAATATAGACTGTTGCACTTTGAAAAGCCTCGTGTTATATAGATTCTCTAGCTATCTGAAATCATAACAAATTATAGAAAATTGTTCTAAATTAATATTTTATCTTTTCCAATGGAAATGCAATTAATGACAATAACAAACCAATAGGTTCCATAAGCAACAAAAATCAAAGGGCAGACTACAATGCTCTCAATGAGCCTCATAAGAAACACTAACTGTAGCTTAGCCTTCCATAATTCTACAATTATTCCTGCACAACAGTGTACCCTTGAGCTGTCATAGGCCATCATGACTGCCTCAGGCACCGTGTATATCTGTGTATAAACCCATCTCTGTATTGCCGTCAAATGCAGGGCTCATCACAGTTAGCCACGGGCCTGAGGGATGCGCTCTGTGAGTCACTCTCAGTGCTGGTGTATTCTCTGTGTCCATCTCAGGCCACAGCAGCAGAGTGGAACCGCTGGGCAGAGGTCATCTGGCCCAGAAAACTGAAAGTATTTGCTACCTTGCCTTATAAATGAAAAGCTTGTCAACCTCACCTAGAAGATGAGCTTTTGAGATGACAGGTTTCTGCAAATGTGGTCATTGAGACATCAGCCAACGAAGGTCTTGTCCTTGTTTCTCAGAGTGTTTCTGGCTTTTTTCATGCACAAGCTATCGAGTTTGGAATAAGCACGGACTAACACATTAGAAGAAATTTGCTACGTCTACTTGCCACACCCCTAGTCAGGCATCTGTGCAGTTTTGTCTCATCTCACTCCCTGTAGAGCAAAGGTCTCCATGTAGTAGCTTCCATGGGAATCACTGCACCACGACCTTTTTAGAACACACGCCTGTCCTCGTCCACCTACACTACTGTTACTTTGCAACATGCGGCTTTCAAAGTGGTGTGTGCCTGCCTCAGCCTCTCCTAAATGCTAACATGCTGTGTGATAACTTTTTGAAAAGTGACTAACTTGTACAAGGTTTTGTTCTAGCTACAGAATTTTGCTTTGGGGCTAAAATAAAGTTATATTCTAAGTTAAAATAAAGTAATAAATAAGTCAAAGACAAAATAAGGTCATATTCAAAGTTAATGTCTATGTTTAATAGGGTGTAGCATTCTGACTACTTCTGTTATCCAAACATTAAAATTCTGACCATACCCATAACAGTTTTACTTCAATATACAATCACATGAAATGCAATGTATTTATAATATATTTATTTTCCTGATTTTTCAATCTGATTTCTAACCTCAGGTGATGCCTATAAATGCCTAAGATGCCTAAGATAATTGTATTATTGGCTTTTCTGAAATTAGGAAAATATTGGTTTTAAGAGTATTGTGAAAATATCACAAATAAGTTTTTTTTAGGTTATTGTTTAACATTTTTAAGTTATTGTTTTAGCAAAGGGAATTCATTTTTATAGAGTGAATAAGAAATTTGGTTGGTTCAGAGAAATATAATATTTTAATTTTAGGAAATTATGTTAGTTAAAATTTTCAGTATCATTTTATCATTTTGTAAAGTGTGTTTTCATACCTTTCATATGTAGGAAGATAGAGAGACAGTATGTGAACATATATCACCTCAGACTATATGTTTATTGTGTTTAATATTTATCTTCTGAAGAACATGAATCTAAAGTATTGAATGGTTTCTAAAACCAAAATATATATAATCCCACTATTTTGTAATTAGGAAAATCCCAGAGCTGTGTGTACAACCAGCCTGAGCACTCAGATATCACAGTACATGTGTCCTCTGCCAACTAGACTCATAATACATATATTTGAGTTAATGAATTAATTAAAAGGTCAGTGATTCACCCACTGTCAGTGTCCTTGTTACAACACTTGCCTTTGAGTTAGTATTATTCCAATCCTAGAAGGTACATTTCTAAGTCTAAAGCAGCCTATGAAAAGCAGAATATTTAATTTTAAAGTAGAGCACACTGTTTGAAAGTGGAGTCTTGTGAGGCCTTCATGTTTATTAAAGAAGGGGGTAGAGGGGGTGGAAGTGAACTAGAGTCCCTAGTTCAATCCCCTGGGAATCCGTGTCCGCTCCTCCTCCATGTACCCTGGGAGGGAACAGGTCTCCAGCTCTCCAGAGCCCCAGGACACAGCTGCTCCAAGAGTCAGGGTGATTTTAACTTTCAGGATGATACATTTACGGTTCCTGAATGATTTTAGTAAGTGACTACTTTGTAAAATCTTTGAGGAATAAGTGACAGTTTTAATTTAAACATACAGACATACGTGAAGAAAAGCACATAAAAACAGAATACAGAAATTAAGATCTTAATGGTAAAAGCAAATGCATTCTAAATAATGTTTGGGCTTTTATAACTGTGACACAGGTTAACATGCATTTATTATGCCATAATATACTAGCTCATTGTCACCCAAATTCTTGTTTCCAAATGTGCAGTGTTTCGGGGTGTAGTTCCCCAGACTGAGTCCCACAGCCCGTGCCCAAGTCCCCAACTGTGGATACTGGACCATCTGGAGATCCCGGATGAACGGCTATCAGTCACTTCAAGGCTAAAAACTTTCCTGCAGATGTAATGGGTTAACTGCCACTGTCTTGGGATTTTTCCTTTGCATATGGCATTTTCCCCTCAAATTAATTTCACTAGAAGAGAAAGCTGAATAAAAGAACGATAAATTTTTCTGCCCAATGCAGTTAGTACCAATAGCATTGGTCAGGGGCTCCAGAAAACTTCAGATTGAAACGTAGATAGCAGTGGGGCCATTGCTGCCACGAGAAATGTGTCCACACCTCCAGGACACAGTGAGGGACCCCTGGGCTCCTGGGCCACTGACCTCATATTCACAAAATGTGGAAAACCTTGAAGGGACGAAGACCAAATATTAGGGGCAAAAGCATAAACAATTACCCCTCAAATCGTCTAAATTTACTCCAGGGTGGGAGTGTGATTTCTACCCTTATTTTTCAAAATAGGAAGAATAATAATGATGCAGTTCCACTCCTAATATTTTTTAAAAGTCTCCTTTGGAGAGTAGGTTTTTCCAACCCTTTCAGTGTCATTCTATCATCTCATCCTGAGATTTGGATCCCAGAAATTGGCCGAGAGCATCTCGGTATGAAAATTTCAAAATCACTCTCTCATGATAAATATGAATTTAGAAAACAATCAAGTGTGTCTGCTGATGGCTTCACCTCTTCTGTAATAACCACGACCCCAAGACAAGCTCCCCTCCCCTCCGATCCGAGGTGTTGTCCCCGCCTACAGCGCTCCATCTGTGGACTGTGCGTTTCTCTCACTGGGGTCTCCTCGCAGCAGAGGACGGGGTGGAAGGGGAGTGACGGGAGAAGTGAACAGCAGTGAGCTCAGGCACCACCAGACAGCCTGAGCCAGCCAAAGGCTCCCGCCGCACGATGTCTGCGGAACTTCCTTACCCGTCGGCCCGCCCAGGACTGTGCACCTTGGAGCGCTCAGCTGACCGATGTCTCTTTTCCATCCCTAGATCGTGTGGCCAGTGTCGTACAGCAGAAGAGATGAGTGCAAATGGGCCGGGAAGGACACCCTGGTAAGCACCAGCTGCCACAGTACTCGAGTAATTCCTTAAGCAGTTTTTCACTCTGCCATTCATTGTTAAACATCCTATTAACCCTCGTACTTCACTTGGGAGACTGATCTTCTCGGGGCATAAAACAACGCTATTCAGCTCTGGAAGCCCTGTCAGTCCCTGCTTCTGTAACAAACAGAAGGCGTGTTTTCCGGAACTAAATTTGTTAGTAAGTTAAGAGGGCACTGGACTGAGATATACCCAAATACCTGCACGTGAAAAATCGTTGTAATTAATAGATAAAATAACTGGCGGGATTTCTGAAACCATAAATGCGTGCTGCATATATTTTATCAATATTTGGGAACGCCCAAAATGCAAAGAATTAATTTTCAAAGTTTTGTCTGTCGGAAGCAGTGGCCTTTGGAAGAAACGGACGTGTGCTGCCCCAAACGAAGCATGAGCCTGTGCCTGTGTGTGCAGATAGACAGGTGTCCTCCAGGGACAGCCTGACTGATTTGGAGCAGCTGCTGAGACTGATGTTTATACTCCTGGGTTTAGAGGGGTCTGAGTTCGTGGGAAGTGTTTGCCCCTGTCTAGCAGCAGCGGGCCACAGCTGAAGGAAGGTACAGCAGGGAGAGCAGGGCACAGGTTGGTGGCTGCCTCAATTCACCCACATGTTAACAAGCAATAAATGCATCCTTGAGCATTCCCTGATGAGCACAGGCGTCATGGTACAAGTTCCTCCTGGCACTGGCGAGACTGGAGGAGGCAGGCCAGGCGGGTAGGCCGCTCCAGTCTGGGGACCGGGACACAGAGATCTGCAGCCCGCAGGCTGTCCTATTACCACTAACAAATTATGTTAGAAGTGTTCAGGGCAATAACTGAGGGAGGCTGAAGGGGCTGTTTCACCTGTGTATAGCTGTTACTTTCAAGAACACAAGCTTGCCCATTTTCATGAGTTTAAATGGTGAAGAAAAACTTGTAACTGTTGAGAAATGTTCCTGTCCCGGTCCTATGAAAGTGTACATAGAACTTTGTAAATGTAGTTTTAACCTCAGGTGGGTATGGTTACTCCCATTTTCTCAATCAGGAAATAAAATAAAATAATTCAGAATTTCGCTGAAAATCTTTTCATTAAAATTTGGTCATATTCTGGGCACCGAGCTGTACGCAGAGATAGTTTCTGTGCCTGTCAGTTGGGCTGTTGGGCCTGGCCGTGCCCACTAGCAGGCAGAGGGAAAGCGGAGGGCAGTTTGCAAAGGTCTCACACTTTTGGGCTCATCAAGAATGTGAGCCGAAATAGCAACTGGGCCCTAGAACGCCTGTGAAGTTCAAAGACATGAGCAAAACTGTTAAAACAATGTGATAGTAAGTATTAACCATGCTAATGATAAAATATTAACCACTACCCTAATTAATCTTTTCAAAAAACAACCAATTAATGTAGCATAAGAAAATATTTAGGCTTTGATGTTCTTTTCCATGCATTAAATCAATTCAGTGGTGTTTTTATTTCATTAATTCTAATGAAGTTTACTTAAAATCCACAATTGAGTTGATGTAATGCAGAATGTAAAGGAATACAAAGCACAAATATCTTCTCATGCTACACTAATTGGCCGAATTTTGAAACAATTAATTAGACTAATGTCATATCATTAAATTACCCAAAATATACCTACCTGCACCATAGTGGGTGGGACATGATCTATGTGATGCCGAAGTTTTCATTACAAGTTGCCATGACATGGTCAGGTACCATTAGTACCAGCAAATGCCACGTGTCCCACTTCCTTGTAATTGATGCTCATCAAATCCTGAGTATTTTCAAATAGCCCGGCAAGCACAGTACAGTTGATCCTCTTATGAAGTAGCCCTGAAATCCTGATCGTGGTGCCCATGGGCTCTGTAGAGTCAGGAGCTCACTGCAGCTGCTGAATTCACTGCGTCTGGGCCAGCAATACAACCCTCAGTGTTCAGGACAGAGGAGCAGGAGGAGGGGCAGGAGGAGGAGGAGGAATATGAGGAGGTGGAGGGGGAAAGAGAGAGAGACACAGAGAGAGAGTGCCATGCTTCCATAAAAGAGAAGGATGCAGTGAGAGGAATAATTTTGAAAATCACACAAACACAAAAGAAATCTGTTTCTTAGTGACTGAATAATCTGATGCAATCATGAAATCTAGTATCCTTATACTTGGCTTTGTTCCCTTAATATTGCTTTACACTGACCTATCATTGAAGATATATTTTAATGCATTAACAACACATTATTAAAATTTATTTTACATATTAGGCAACCTCATTCAAGTCTTATATCAGTGTATGTATTCCCTGCATTTTAATAAGATTCCTGGCATCCTTTGGTTAGTTTGGGACTTGAACTTACAGACCTATATTTGTCCATTTCTTTTTCTATATATGAGTTTAGAAATAGTGATGAGGTGACTTCCTGGGATTTGTAGCATTTCTTCCTTGATAATCACAAGAAAATAAATATCGCTATTACTTTTAACAATGATTTAAATGACCAGTTTCCAAGAGAGATGGAAGGGAAAGAGTTTCCTTCTTCCAACGCCTGACCTGCGAGTGGCCATGGGTAACTGGAGGGAAAGCTTTGGGCCTCTTGCATAAACAGTTGTCAGCCAGGATCCATGGACAATCGCTGCTCCCAGGAGCCCTTGGGCTGCTGGAAACCACAAGAATGAGGCGCAAGTGGATTCTGCAGACACCAGGGCTCCAACAAAGAATTGTATCAAAGTGAGAACGGATCTGGACATTCACAGGAAATGAGTCCCCGGTTCCTACGGGATCTTCCTGGGCTCTAGGAGGGCTGACCTTCCCTGGGGGTTCTTCTGAAACTCCTCTGGAAAACACATGGCTCTGGCCAGGTCATCCTGGAAGGAGCTGTGTGCCCAGAGCTCAGCTCAGAGACAAGGGAAGAACAGGAAAAGGAGCAGAGCCACTGGCCAATTTACATAGGCAGAGAGGGGACGTCCTCTGGGGTGAGGGCACCACTTCCAGCCTGGGGCCTGGACAAGCCACGGACTGCCCCCCACAGCTCTAGTGTCAACGCATAGAAAGAACACCACGCCCAAAGTGCGCTCTCCCCAGTAGCCCAGGCAGTTGGGAAGACCCAGCCTGCCCTTGCTCTGTGTCAGACGTATGCACTGGTGCAGCAGCTGGAATTTGGGCGACGCCCCACGAAGAATGCACTTTACAGTAAAGGCAGAATGGCAGCACGGGTATGCTCAACATACTACACAGGACGCAGGGTGTTCTTGGCTATGATGTCGTTATGTGTGTGCGTGTCTGTGCACGTATGCCATACACACTCTCACTTGTGTGGAGGAGGTGTGGACGTATGCACTAGGAAAGGCATTTCTGGCAACAGTCATCTCAACTGAGTTTTTCTCCTACAGAAGTGACCATCCAGGATACAAAACAGAGCCTGTAAAACACATTGTGGGGGCTACGGGTTCTAAGCCGCACTAGGGCTATAACATTTCTATCATTAGATAATAAAGCCCTCATCGACTTTTGCACTGCTGTTACTTAAGTTAACTGATAAAACACATAAGAGTAGTAAGGATAGATGCAACCCAGATACCTGTATCCTCACTGCTGCTCTGCTCTTGCTTTTTATATTTTCCTAGGGCTTAAAACCCACTTTGTTGCTCACAAGAGCATTCCTATTGATGGATTAACTCCCTTGACCCTGTTTTGCAAATGAAAACTGAATCCACCACTAAGCTGGTAGAAGAATCTGTTTTGAATTAGTCCCTCTCTGGCTCTTCTTTGTTTATCCTGCTAAACCGGCTCTCTGCACTGAGTTTCAATAAAACCAAATGGCAACCGTATGACTGCTAGAAATATTTTGAACATCATTGGAAATCAGAATTTCAGCCATCTGAGAAGAACAAAAAAAAGCAGATTCTCATAACAGTCCCCCCCCCCCCGCCCGATGCATTGCTAACCATGGTACCCTGCACACACCTTATCTTTGGCTGTTTGGGAATTCTGAGGGAGTTCTGTTGTGTCCTCAGCAGTTACTCACCTTCAATGAGATGATAATGGTGACACATCTGTCACATGCACACAGCTCAAACTGCAGGGCCCGAGCAACAAGGAGGACTGCCCTGCAACGCAACAGAGAATGCAGGATGAGCGGGAATCTCAGGCTGTGGCTCATTCCAGGATGCAGGCATCAACCGTGCATTTCATTTACCTTTGGAAAGGTTGAAGTTGCCATCAACCTTCAATTTTAAAATGTTACTGCAGGCGTTTTATTTTATGTTGTAGTTATTTATTTATTTACTTTCGGTTTTTTTGAGACAAGTTCTTGCTCTATAGCCCAGGCTGGCCTGGAACTCACAGCAATCCTCCTGCTTCACCCTCCCAAGTGCTGCTCTACCTAGAAGCTGTGGATTATATCTTAAGGCTGTTTATTAGTAAGGAGCCCTGGAAAATGGAGTGTTCGGTGAACCCTCAGGCAGTGGAGACTGCTCTCCTTGGGTCCCCAGCAGGGAGGGGACAGCTCCCTCAGGACTGGAAGCCCCAGCCGCCCTCCTTCTTAGAGCAGTTCCTCTTGGTGAAGCAACTCCCCAGGCGAGGTGTCCCATGGACACCGCGGGAAACGTGCTGGCATCTAGAATCGACCTCTATTGTCCTTTATCTCTACCCGGACCACACGCTCTCCCTCAACACCAGGAAACCCGGGGACTTAATTCCTCCCTTACAAGTCAGGTGAATATCACAGAGCCTGAGGGTTCCTGACATTCCTGAGGACACTGGTTATCATTTTTATGGCTCTTCTAGTTCCTCTCATGATTGCCAGCTATGGCCGGTTAGTCCCTGTGAACAGGCTCCATGGAATCAGATAGCACTTTAGAGAGAACGGATTGTGGATGAAGATGGCAAAACCTTATTCAGCCTCGCAGACAACAGTCTAGCTTTTCACACTTGCCAGTGTGCATTTGCGCTCGGGGCTGAGTTTGGCTGAGCTGGATGAATGATTGTCA